CGATTAGCTATTGCCGAGCTATGGTTGGGCAATTCGGAGACTAACACTGATCTGAACGCTGGCGTGGTCGGTGGCCTTGATCACTGTTGCATGGCGGTCAGTGGCTGTTTTCCATCCATACACACAGGTTTTTAAAACGTAAACCGCCGGAGGCTCTACAACATTGTGGATGTAGAAGTATCGAAGCAGGCAGAAAACAAAACTTACGGCGGCCGGTCGCGCTGCACTTTCGTGGCACGTAAAGGTCAACAACTTCTCCGCGGTCGTTCTCCATTTTGGCAATTGGGGGTGAGTTTGGCGGTTGGGGGGGAGGTCGGAAATGTGGTTGGTGATAGTGTGGTTGTCGCGAAAGAATTTCTGTAATTTTGACCCAGGTAGCAGGTAGTGGGAGGGATATGGTGGGGGGTTGTTTGTACCTTCGTATTCTTTGCTCGGCTAGGGCCACGTGACTAGTCACATGCTTTCGAGACTAGTTCGCGTGCGCCCTTCGCCCTTCGCCCTTCGGCCGGAGCCCCGCATTGGTTCTCCGTGATCCATCCAGGATGCATTGGCTTTGTGGTGTTGTTGGCTGGCCGTTAATCTCCGACTCGAGAAACCACCTCTTCTGTTGTCTCCTACCAGTCTGGCTTTACAATTCTCATCTTCCTCCAATCCGATCATGAGACTTAGGTAGCTTCTTATATACCATACCGCATTGCCCTTGTTCCTTATTAACTCCAACCTGTTGGCTCGTGGTTTCGTTCGTTGCGCCCGGCGCGCAGCGTACTTTTCGCGCCACCGCCTAGCTATGTCCTCTCCAAGTGTCTTTAGGTCTTCTCCACCTCGGCCGCCAACATTTAATTCAACTTCTGTTTTATCATCCTCACCATGTCTCCCGTCTCTCGACGAGATCTTTCTGAAGAAGAGTCCGAGAAAACCACCCTTGGGAGCTGGGAAAGCTGGCGTGCTACCCACGTTAACGGGTGCCGCAAATGTCCTGCGAGAGGCCCCTGTCATTGACATTGACACCGAGACAATCATCCCCTCGCCGTCACATGAAGCCAGGAGAAAAACTACGAGTCGAAGAAGGGGTGCTCCGATTCCTGATACGTTGGCTGATGACCGAGGTTCGAATTCGCCAGCTACTGTGATAGAATCCTTATCTCCAAAGGACAAACCATGGCAAAAGTTTAAGAGTAAACCTACAGAAAACGATAACGAGTCTTTGATCCCTAGAAGCCCCAAGGTATCGAATTCGAAAAAGCGATCGGGCAAAGCTATAGAGAAAGTGTCTAGGCATTTTACCACAAGTGAAGAGGGCTCGCGTCTCAACAGTAGTGCCGAGCGAGAGAAACGCAAACTTAGCACGAAAGAGCAAGCCAGCGCGGTCCTTGCAAGTGTAGCGTTAGAACCTGCCATTCCCCGTCGCGGCGATTGGACCCCCCCGAGAGCTGATGTACCCATCGTTCTCGATTCCGACTCCGACACTCGAGAACTTCTCTCATCAGTTGGCAAAGAACCTGTTTCCAAGGACGTATTTCAGACCCTATACAACCAGTATGGAAGACAAGATACAGATCTGGCCCCGGAGCTATTTCCACAAGCCCAGGCCGACTTTTTAAGGAAGCGTAAGCGGATCGAGTTGGTATCTACCGGCCAAGAAAGGGGAGGTGAACAACCCCACGAGGAACCTTTATCGAAGGAACCGCAGCTGCTAAACGAGCAGAAAACCCAGGCAAAATTGAAAGCACCTGCGCCAAGAAAGAAGACGAGGACGATTACGGAGCTAGCAACAGCCCCTTTCGCAGTACCACCTGCATCCGACATTGAACTTACAGGGCCTACAACTAAGGAATCAATGCTGGACTATTTTGATTCTGATGGGGCTGTCAAGGCACTGGTTGAGCACCAGACTGCTGTCATGTCCCAAAGGAAAACTAAGGGTAAAGAGAAAAAGCAACCTGCAAAAACAAAGCGCAAGAAGAAGGCAGGCACGGAGGCCGATCCAATTTTACTCTCACCAAGCACTGCATTGAAACAGTCTTCAAAGCAGGATTTCGTTTTCGGAACATCGAGCCAACTCGTGCAGGAAGAGTCTCCGGCAACATTGCGTGACCTTCAGGCTGCCATCCGTGCATCTAACAGCTTAAATTCCGACCCGTTTGATGACGACGTGGGTCAACGTTTGTGGCACGCTGGAGCCCGTGATGAAGAAGGCGAGTTGATAGGAATGGAATTTATTGACCTACAACACGGGCCCGCGGTCGTCACAGAACCAGATTTAACGGTCACACCGGGTTGCCGAAGCTTTGTTGATATTGATGATATACTAGACTCACCGAAGCCAGTGAGCTCAACCCTAAATGCGCCTTCCGCACCCCTTCAAACGAATCCTCATTTTGTTGAATCTCAGAACACGGAGCAGAGTTCGAGTAGCCAGTGCTCAGAGCCGGGAGGCTCGGCAAGTGCAAGTAATCTTGATCCCCGTCCCAATTACGAATTATTCACAGATGCCCAACTCGGCAAACAAATTACGTCTTACGGCTTTAAGCCGATGAAGAGGCGCGCTGCCATGATCGCGCTGCTAGATCAATGTTGGACGAGTAAACATCAGGGGGCATCAGCAGGTTCAATACAGCCTTTGTCAACATCTACTCGTACTCCAGTCCTGGCCCAGCAGGAGCCTACTGGCAATGTGCCGAATGAAGCCTCGGCAAGGACACGTGGACGTAATCGGGCAACGAAAGACCGCGATTCAACGACATCAGTCGCTAAGCCAACTACATCAAAGACGTCTACTCCGAAGCGGCCGCGCGGCCGTCCAAAAAAGGACGAGGCCGCCTCCACCTCCGCTGCTGGATCAGGTGTCTCTGTATCGAGCCCCAAAAGACCACGCAGTCGCCCTAGAAAGTCGAGTGCCGCTTCCATCGAAATTCCAGACTCAGAGACCGGGACCCCATCACCCGTTTTATCGTCGGCCGATCCGGTATTCTCTTCGCCTCCCCCATTGGATCTTACGACATTAGATGAGGGTGATCTGTCTCTAACGTTGTCGCCGACTGACCAACAGACGGAGTTATTTAGACACATCACCAAGGCCGTAACCTCAGCACCCCGTTCGCAAAACCCGTCGAACCCGTCGTGGTATGAGAAGATGCTTCTTTACGATCCTATTATTCTCGAGGACCTCGCATCTTGGCTGAACGGTGGTGAGTTAACACGAGTTGGGTATGACGGGGAAGTGTCCCCATTTGACGTGAAGACATGGTGTGAAAGCAAGAGTGTCATCTGTCTCTGGCGACAGAACCTCAGGGGGAGGGAGCGTAAACGATTGTGAATGACGAGGCTACGAGCTGAATATCGAAAATACTGTAACTATAGATACCCCTTTCACTAGTAGAAGCGATAAAAGAGACGTGATTTATACATAATTCATTTCCACCGATACAATAAGACCCAGAAGCTGTTTAAGAGTATGAAGCTCCATCTAGTTAGACCACTGAATCAATATACTTCAACTTAGGAGAATGTGCATAGCAACTGATCTGAACTTCTGGTTTTACTCTTCTACCTATCTCATTCTTCACTAGTATGCGCTACCTAGTTTCCTATTGAGGTCTCACGAGGTCATTCAATGCTGAGACGTCATATTCTTGATTTGATCAACTGTCCTGTTCGTTGGTCTTTCCCACAGGGCTATCCTTGTCTCATAGAGGTTTTGACTCGCGTAATGGCAGTATCTGCAACCACGAACATGCTGCCCTCCCTCTTTTCCGATTTCCCCCCCAATCCCTATACCTTCAAGAAGCCGCAAAATTCGACGAGGCTCTCGAGCCGCACCCATACATATATCTTCTTTGCATGCCCTTTTCTGCGCTGTGGTTTTTTCGACGGTAGATATTGCAACATAAATTTGCATTGTCGGGGACTAGTTAGCAAGAGGGAGCGGGTGCCCCCTAGGAGTGGTTATAATGAAGGTTATATGTACATAAGAGCGTGAAGCGTGGCAAATCGGGTCTCCCTCCCCCCCCTTTATACTCCTAAGTAGTTACGACCTACCGGTGACTTGTCTTTATTCTAGTGCCTAAGGCTTTAACACATATTTCCTCCTATGGTGGGGATAACAGTTTCACCTATGAATAAAGGTTTACCACACTTGGCACAGAGCCCTATTTGAATCATTTCTACTTTATCTTTATTATATGCGGATATACGGACTTAATTTCGAGAAAACTCTACAAAGACCATCTTCAGCTTCTACTCTGGTACACCTAGGATACATATAAATGCCCTACGTTGCTTTTTGGCTGGGCTCTGGTTCTATACTGATATGTCTAGTTGGACATAAGAATTCGCGAGCAGAAGATTGCGCAGCGAATCAAACAAAAGATGTGTTTCCCACCGGGGATAATATTCGAAAATTATCTTTAGTCAAACTAGATATTTAGCGCGCGGGTGTCGCCTGTTCAAAAGTTTCGAGCATGCAGAGCAGCTTTCCGGGAAGGTTAAACGGTACCCCGTGTGTTATAGATGTGGAATTGAATATGAGGACTTTTACCTTAGAAATAACAATTTGAGAAACTGACACCTCCATAATCAATGCAATACTCACCATAATCGCAAGTACGCCAAATGAGCATTACCTATTTTACTCACCAATTTCAAGGATATGCGGAACACGTTCGCGTAGGATTGGGGGGGTAGCTGGCTGTAGGATGTTTTGTGATATGGTATTGTTGATTTGGATCCCCTAAAACTAACTTAGGGATTAATATGCCCAACTTTTTCAGTGCAGTTCTGTCTCATGGGGGGGTTTTTTTTTTATACTACTGCTGCAGGCAACTCTTCGTTTCTCACGTGACAGAGAACACAGCCTATCAAAGGGATTAGGGTATAGGGGCACAACCTCATCAGTACCTGCTTGTCAAGTAGATATACTTTTTTTTATTTTATCTACGTATGAGAAGAGGAAAAGAAAAAAAAAGAATCAACAATAGTCAAGCAAGGTAAAAAAATTGATTTGAGAGCTGCAGGATTCGAACCTGCGCGGTTTCCCACTGCGGGATTTATGGTATAAGAGGCACGAAGCCACCCTATGACCTAAACACAGCGCCTTAACCACTCGGCCAAACTCCCTATCTTATTAATTGGTTGGTAATGGTGCCGATTATGCCAACTTAATAATATTGCGGTTTGTGTGTGTGTTTGTGTGTGGAGTGTGATCCGATAAACCGGATGCCCAAAATTAGAGGGGCCTATAGATGTGGCCGCCTGCTACCCACTATAACATTTAGCGGCTATCTAGGGTAAATGAGTTTTAGGTACTCATAGATGGGTTAACAACGTGTATAAAGACATTTCATATCAGGTCTTGTTAAGGAATCTTACGTACAAGCAAGAGATGCATCGTATTAATAAAGGGACTATGCGGGGTATATACCCACCTCTACCCCCCTAGCAGGCATCAGCACCTGCTTATCTTATCGCACCCTTGCCTATGCCTATATACCCTACGTCTCTGCACCTCTCTATCAATTACCAGCACGCCGCGCGGGTTTAATTCTAATTCAGGGTAGTGAGCACCACAGCAAATCGACTGTTCTGATTCTGCGGAAGATCCTAGCATCAGTGGTTTAGTGGTAAAATCCATCGTTGCCATCGATGGGCCCCGTGTTCGATTCACGGCTGATGCAGTAATTAATCTTTTGCTTGATTCTCGAACTTGGGGGTTTTTTTTCTTCTTATTCCCTTTTTTCCCCTTGCCGATTCCTCTAACAGTTAAAGGGGGCGTTCCACGTAAGTCATTGGGGGAAGCCAACCTTTGTCGTTCTAAATGTGCGAGGTGAGTTTATTCTTGAAGATTATATATATAGTAGGTGTTGTGGTGGCAACTACCAAGCGCGTCTTCCACATGTAATATTCCCATCCCTGATCGAACAATCATCGGGATTGGCCGCTGTCTGCACGAGCACCGTGACTCTCCTGGTCTTTATTGAGGATGCGCTCATACGTAGTAGGTAGGTTAAGAGGGTATTTCCAAAGTCCAGCGAGCGTATTTTGTTTGCAACAAAACGCTGCCTCTTTGTGCGACCATTGTGCTACGTGCCTCAATTTGCCGCGCCCATTTCGGACTATCGCGTGTCCTAAAATTTCTCTCCGTTTCTTTCTTCCGGCTCTAACACCTCGCTCAAGCTCTCTCAGCAGCTTCGAAGGGTAACCTCAATCGTGTGACGTCATCATCGTCGGCGGCGGAACTGCGGGCTGCGTCCTTGCGAGCCGTCTTTCTGAAAAAGACAAGGGCTCCAGGTCCTCGTCGTTGAAGCTGGAGATGGTCTTACGGCTGATCCTAGGGCTAATTATCCGTTAATGGGGCTGGGATTGCTAGCCTCTGATGCCAACTGGGGTTTTACAATCGCTCCCCAGGTTAGTCCCTGCTCTGGTATCTGTTGACCGGTCCGACCCTTCTAATTAGGAGCAGCTCGGTGGCTCCAGTATTGTGAATGAATTTGCTTTTCTTCCCAACTCCAAAGCCAATATTGAAGCATGGGCTGAGCTGGGAAATCCCGAGTGGTAATGGGCAAGTTTCTCGAAAACTATGTCTCGAGTTCACCTAGCTAAGTATTATGAAGAAGAGGGCCAAAGCCCCCTCCAAATTGCCATTTCTAAAGAAGAACCCCAATGGCCTCGTGTTTGAGGAGAGACGCTCCCCGATCCCGGATTTCCAGCATGTAGCGATCCATTTTCTGGAGAAATCTTAGGCAGCTTGAAGGGCCCTGAGACGATCGGACTTGACGAAAAAAGTAGCCTTGCAGCAAACGTATGTATCGACCATGGTACTCGGTCTCGGAGCAATCTCGCCGTTTAGACTGGAATTTTCGCTCAGAAGATCTTGACCAAGATACCCGAGAGTGTTACTGCGACTAGAGTTTAGTATAGCAACGCTAAAACTGGAGTGACGGGCATTGTCCGCTCCCGAAAAGAGGTGATCATAGCGCCAGCGCGATTAGCTCGCCTGGATTACTCGAAGTCTCAGGCTTTGGCCACAGGGAGCTGTTGAATGGGCTTGGGATCGATTTCATCGTCGACAACCTTCATATTGGTGGAAATCTTCAGAACCATCCTATGTTTACTGTTACATATGAAGCTGTAGACCAAGAAGGATTCGACACGATGGAAAAGTGATTGCGAAGGGATCCAGTTGCTATTATGGAGGCTCCGAGGGCCTCTAGTAACGAAAAAAAACTGGATTAGAATCCCAAAGCAATCTCAATGTTTTAGCCCAGCTTCCCATTTAAGATACTGCCGAGTTAAGACAGGCCATTGATAATTATATTTCATCGAGGCTATATGGAACTGTGAGTTCATTGGCAATGGCCCATGAATCTTTCGTTCGATCCCATCTGACCTCATCATCCGAAGATTCTGGTTGCTGTATGATGGCTCCCGGTTATATCTGCTTTTCCGAGGACAAATCTGTCTTGCTGCCACCCCCAGGATCTGAGAAGTATTTCACTATATCAGCTCATCTAGGACATCTACTGTCCCGCGGGCTAGTGCACATCACTTTGGCATTGTCACCAAAGTCTTCGGAGGGGGTTTCTATTGACTTAAACTCTTTTCGGGCACCCTCTCGGCCTTGAGGTTTTAGCTCGACATGTTCAACTTGCCGAGGAAAATCGCCATGACTGAGCCGCTCCCAGATCATATCAAGCCTGACGGTAAACGAGGCCCGGGCATGGCAGAGCCCAGTGAGTTCGTAGATCTCGAGAAGGCAAAAGAGTACCTTCTTCGCACAGCCGTCGGGTCGCACCACTAGCTTGCATCATGTGCTATGATGCCGAGAGAGATGGGTGGAGTTGTAGGACCTTCTTTGCTTGGATATGGTTACCCTGACCTACGAGTTTGCGACGCGAGTATCATACCTATCACGCCTCGCTCGAACTCGCAGGGAGTGATATACGCCGTAATAGCCGAGCACCCAGCATAGCTTATTAAGTCGGATATGTAATGTTGCCTCCTGCAAGCGGGCTGGCATAAACTACACTCAACTTAGCTATGTACATCTGTGGGCTACGTAATTTATATCTATTGAATGGCAAGGATATGAGTAGGCATCCGAGTGCCTGGTCATGGCGAGATAAGTCGCTTGTGGTATTAATCACATATCAATACCCTGAGTCCTAGGGAAGGGCTTACGACTGGATTAATACGTGGTGCATGCATGTGACTGCCCCTACCCTCTCTTTGATAGGGAATCTCAATCAGCTGGCAAAGGAAAATAGTCATTTGCAGTTTGAAAAGTGGGCATGAGAATATGGGCTACTATAGTCGTTGGTTTTAGGAACGCATATTATGATTTTCCTTTCATCCAACCAGGCAGTTGAAGACTTACTAGATAGCCGCGGCGGTATTATATTCTCGTCCCATCCAGTGAGGTACATAGCACAGCAATGTATAAGCCAAGGCCATCGAGTCGTACTCATGGTATAAATTCTTTTCGTTTGCTTAATATTCTGATTTTACACCTCGCCGTACTTCGAAGTCGATGTGGTCAACGAGAAACGGGTTCAAGGGTTTACGAACAAGCTGGGTGCATATATCTGCGGTTCATTCCCATTTAATTTGCCTATTCCCCTATGATAGAAGGACCTTGAGGACATTACAAAGCCTCGCAGAGTTGTGTATATAGGCACGAGGCTTCCAAATCATCACACTAGCACTATAAACGATGTCGTTAGACTGTGTGGGAGTCTAACGGTATATCCAGCGTCACCTAGTGCGACACAAATGATAATGTAAAAGCTTGGGGCCATTGAGGTTCTAACGTCACTAGATTATATCCCCACGCATTGCTCCTATACATAGAACGGGGAAGATGGCAATGTCTCGCTGTGATTTACGTCAGCGCCTTCACTGGAACAAGGCATTTCTATAGGACTAATTAGTACGTTTCGTTCTAGTTTCTATGAAAGATAGAAGGAGAAATAAAAACAGCGGGCGTGAGTCTTGTAGCCGAAGAAGAGCGGTAACTACGAGATTTGAGCAGAATAATAGGACTTTTGATACCTACAGAGGTAACCGCTCTCGTTCTCTGCTCTCGGCTTAGTATGGCAAAGTGCCACATCAGCAATTTGACAATTGCCGACAAAACAATGAAACATAATATGGGAAGCTGAATAGAAAAAGCTACTTGAAAATTGTGTGATGGGGATTGCAGTAGGTTGGTACCTTAGGTATAGTATAGTATATTACGTAGAGGTAGCAGAACACGTCTTGCCGTTGCACCGCAAACATACTCATCGGTTAGAGGGCAAATAAAGCTTTGGAATTTACTAAAGGATTGGGTGATGGCACTAGATTGGATGTGTAGAAAGACTACGCAGTGTTGCAATACGATCCCCCCTCATCTTGGAAAATTGCTACCTTCATGGATTCCACTTGTGGGTATGTGCTCGACTCGACTACAATTTACTTTGCAACGTATCCATTCTTAACCTTTAGCACACCGCTAACTGGCCGGGTCAGACATTTTACAGTATAGTTTTGGTGGATTATGGATGCCGTAGGAGGCCCTAAATTGGTGCGTGGGCACTTTGAACTCGTTTAGAGGCCCGCCTGCTACCTTGACCAGAGCTTCGGGACCTGGAACTCGATCGATTATCGCTATAGTTGAATAACCGATAGGTGAAAACGCAGGTGGTGGTTTCCGGGGACGGTGTCCTAGCGTAGGTGACAGAGGCGGGGCGTGGAGGGGGGGTTCGGTTGTGTAGTTATTACCGATGATACTGAAGTTATGGATGGCTGCTTCCGCAGGCTGTCTCCTCATCTTAGAAGTGTTCAATAAAAATTGGCTGTGTATTAGAGATGATAGAGATAGAGAGGGACTGGGTGAGAAAGGGGAGAGAGGATTGTATGGAAAGTGTTGGGAGGAGGTGGTATTGTGGTGCGGGCTTGGGTTGGCTGGTTTTTTTCATTTTTTTTTTTTTAACTCCATGGATTGGGGACGTAGGGGTGTACCTACCAGTACCTAGGTACTCTGACCTAGGTGATATGGGGTTGAACTGGATTAATGTTCATAGTTTGGCTCCTTTATAGAAGAATTTTAGTTTTTATAATAGCAGAGTGTATTGTGCATT